TGATAAGGTTCTTTTGCAAAAAGAGAAATTCTGGATCTATACGCTGGGTACTTTGATACCACATGGATTAAACTTTCAAAATATTTCTTAAATAATACGCTTTTTTTGAATATTTTGCTAATGTTTTGATATTATCTGCACTATGCAAATGGCACTAGATTTTTGAAAAAGGAAAAACTTGTGATGATATATTGTCATCTGCTGAATGATATTTGATAGATATAATATCTGATTTATTGCATGTCTCATGACCATTCTTTAATGATCTATACACGTCAGTCATATATGTTTTAGAATTTAACTCAGACTTGGAAACAATGTAATGATGACATTTCAACACAAGAGGGTGACAAAAGGACGAGATCATGCAAATTTTGCACTATATAAGGAATGGGAAAGCTGTCCCCTCCCAGTTCTGACGAAGTCCTCAAAGATTGGCGAACGAAACGCATCAATGTAATGACATCATCATGCTCTGCGTAACACCATGCTGCAGTGTCCATGAAGGGAAAGAGGTACGCCATACGTCTCCATCTTGGATAAACACTGGGCAAGATGGAAACCGCCAGTACTTCGGCTGACTTCCGGGAGTTCATTTAGCTTCACATGGCGATACATCACTTCCACCGGTGACAAGTCATTTCTGAATAGTGCTAAGCAATGTCTCGCACTCTATATAGTAACGGGACTTTAATGTTCTTAGCCTTACAGAGGAACTCCATCACTATTATTCAGAAGAGACATTTTCGGTCCTTATATAGGTGACAACTGATTATGTGCTATGTTTGACGGGAGTGACTTTGGGTGGTGGGGCCCATGGAACACAGCCCCCTTTGGAGAGGTGGGTAGACCCCTGTCTCAGCTCCCCATATCCCTATTATGTGCAAGTCACCCTGTGCCTGTTAGGGGTACAGGGTGATCTGTCCTAATATTGGGGTGGGGGGTTGTTCATTGTTCACTGCCATGCGGCTGCATCCCATTGTTCTATTGTGTGTCTTTCTTGGGAGCAAACTATTATGGGATATGTGTTTGTAATGGGTTGGTGGGTTTCCGGCAGCCCTTCCCCCTGATGGGACAGCCTGCTGATGTGTTTCCTGGTACTAAATGTATTGCCCTGTGTATATATCTTGTCTCTGTGTTAAAATAAACCAGTTCACTTCCTGTCTTAAGAAGCCTGGTGTTGTCTCGTCCTGCATGGTCAGCGGTGGGGTCCGTGGATAATGTTCGGATAGGGAAGCGGGAGTCTAACAGAAATACCCTAGCGCAGTCGGGGTCCGGTTCCGTTACACTATGTGATAAGCATTAATATATGGGAAACGGGACTTTCTGTCCATAAACCTTTCTAAAGGCACATGTGAATTTAACCGCCTTGCTCTTAGAAGAGGAATTTTTGGGGCCTATAGTAGGCTATTTACATACATGTCCAATGTAGTATTGTGATTCAAGCTTTACCTACAATAATAATCATTTTTGGCATCTAGGAGGGTCATTACCTCTCATCTTTTGAAAATGGGTCTTAACCTCCTTGCCGGTATGATTCTTTCCGATTTTTTGTGCTGAAAGCGGTACCATTTTTTTGCATGGAAATATGTAGTTTTTTATTGTAGGCTGTAATTTTTAGGAATAACTCACTGAAATCTGTACGAACAAGAGTCTATTAAACATCCCGGGTAGGATAAAATTTGAAACACAAAATCATAAATTATAATTTAATAAATAATCATAAAAAATAATAATATAATAATAATAAATTTAATTCAATAATATAATCAAACCAAAAACACTAAAATTTGAAATACAGAGGCAAATTCGCACATCGCTGAGCAAAGTCGCAAAATCGTTTTCAGTGTCTGATGACGAATTTCCCCCACGAATCATTATCACTCAATTCTGCAAGTAGTTCTGATTTACTATCGCTGTTCTAAAACCGCTTTTGACCTAAAGGGACGCTTTTTGGACGCCATGGACCTTTCTAAGTTTCCAGGCAGAAAGAACATTCAAAATGCAGGCAGGGCGCCGGACAAAGCAGTAGGGACGAAATATGTGAAATGCATTGAAACAGCAATGACAGCAAAAATGACATTTTTTAAAAATTTCAAATTTCCCGCCGTCACAGGGACCGGAACACAGAAGCCGGATGCCGGCATTGGCCGGAGGAGATGGCCGGAGACGCTGCAGGGGACACATCGCTGGAGCGAAGGACAAGGTAAGTGCTGCAGGGACCCCCAGAGCAACGCCGCATGGTAAGCCCGAGTGTAGCTCGGGGTTACCGCTTGTGGTATAGAAGTTTTTTTACCCCGAGTTACACTCGGGATTACCGCTAAGGAGGTTAAGATCCATACTCTATAGGTGGAAACAACGGGGATTCCATTAGGGGAACTATTTCTTTCATTGGAACTGCCCATAGTTATCCATCATTTTCTGTATATTAATATTTTATTATTCATCATAGATTTCCCATTACTGTTATCCACCAAGTGTATCCTATTTAAGGAATATCGGCTGATTTGAGATTGGACATACACAATGCAATTTTCTTTACCAGCTTACATGATGATGATGGAATACAAGGAAGGGAATTAAGTTTACAATGATATCTTTCCTCTTTAGAGTCATTAGAAACCATTGGATTCCAGCTTGTGGCTATAGATGCAGATATATATGTATAAGGTGACTTTTCCCAGATTCTTTATTTATTGCACATTTATTCTCCAGAAGTTTTACCGCCCACTATTCTATCATTCAATATCGATGAATATATGAAGGAAGTACAAAGACATTTACAAGATTGGAGAATAATAATAAGAAATCAAACCTGTGAAGATATAACCAATCAGAGTCCTACTATAATGGACGCCCCAAACATCAGAAAAGAAGATTTTCCTGTTCAGTACTTACTATGGTTCTTTCAGCCATGTAAATTGATGCAGCGAAGTGAAAACGCAGAATGCTTTGTTTGTTTTTTGTTTTTATTCACTGATTGTATTTTTGTGATTGGCTGTGTGTACACCATGTTTACAATGCCAAACCTTTCCATGATCTAAATGATGTAAATACAATGATTTGCATCCACTATTGATGGTGATAATTTACTCCGCTTAGGATTCATAATATACCGTCTTTTTCTGGCAGGTCTGCCCTAGTCAGCTGATAACCGTTTTCTTATAGGCAGTATATGTGAGTAGCTCTCTGTTATAGGAAGTCATGCGGTTTCCTGGAAATCAAGTGTTTGTAACTACAAATCTCCTCCAGCAGGTGGCACTGTGCACACTAATGAGAGGTTACAATAAGAAGAGAACACAGAGATAGCAGCTGCCTGTGTATATGTGTGGGGAGAGCTCTGTGTATATGTGGGGAGAGCTCTGTGTATATGTGCGGGAGAGCTCTGTGTATGTGCGCGGGGAGAGCTCTGTGTGTGTGTGTGCGGGAGAGCTCTGTGTATGTGCGTGGGGAGAGCTCTCGTGGGGAGAGCTCTGTGTGTGTGCGGGAGAGCTCTGTGTATATGTGCGGGGAGAGCTCCGTGTATATGTGCGGAGAGCGCTCTGTGTATGTGTGCGGGAGAGCTCTGTGTATGTGTGCGGGAGAGCTCTGTGTATGTGTGTGGGAGAGCTCTGTGTATATGTGCGGGAGCGCTCTGTGTGTGTGTGCTTGCGGGAGAGCTCTGTGTATATGTGCGGAAGCGCTCTGTGTGTGTGTGCGTGCGGGGAGAGCTCTGTGTATATGTGCGGGAGTGCTCTGTGTGTGTGTGGGGGGAGAGCTCTGTGTATATGTGTAGGAGAGCTCTGTGTATGTGTGCGGGGAGCGCTCTGTGTATATGTGCGGGGAGTGCTCTGTGTATATGTGCGGGAGAGCTCTGTGTATATGTGTGCGGGGAGCGCTCTGTGTATGTGTGCGGGCAGAGCTCTGTGTATGTGTGCGGGAGAGCTCTGTGTATGTGTGCGGGGAGCGCTCTGCGTATGTGTGCGGGGAGCGCTCTGCGTATGTGTGCGGGGAGCGCTCTGCGTATGTGTGCGGGGAGCGCTCTGCGTACACGTGTGGGGGCGCTCCGCGTACACGTGTGGGGGCGCTCCGCGTACACGTGGAGGGCGCTCTGCGTATTGTGTACACATGTATGTGCGGGAGCGCACTGTGTACACGTGTATGTGTGGGAGATTCTCTCATCACTGCGGTCGAAGACGAATGTCGGTTTGACCCCACTAAGGATCCATCGAATGTAAAATCTTAGAATGAAGGGGATGAATTGCGCCCCTTCATTGGTGTCAGTTATTATATTATTATTATTATACAGTATTTATAAAGCCCAATAGTTCGCTCAGCGCTGTACATTACAAAGGGGGACAGAACTTGTGACAGAACAATACCAATACAATGCAAAACATGAGGGGATCGAGGGCCCTGCTCTTTCCAGCTTACAATCTAGGAGAGTTGAGGGGATTTATGCCCCATTGTTGGTGTCAGTGGATGAAATAGTGCTCCAAGGGCCAGATAAAAGCAAGCACAGGACCTCATCTGGCCCCCGGGCCGATGTTTGGAGACCCGTGTTGCAGATGATGGGGATTCCCCGGCATTGTCCTGAGTGTGTCTGTATGTCAGTGGGGGGGCATTAGATTGTAAGCTCCTTCTCTGGGGTGGAATGGTGCGGAGGGATCCCTGTAGATCAATAAGTAGAGATCCCTCCTGTGATTGGTCTCCGGGGTTTCCTGTGGATCTCTCCCATGCCCGGTATCAGGAGATGATTGGGGGGATTTGCACATTCACAATCTTTGGATTCCTGGAATCCTATTGGTTGGATGTCTCCAGATTTCACTTTCACTTTTGGCTTCTTCTCTCCAACCTTCTCACTGTCACTCTGCCCGGTAACTGCTGACCCTCCCTCTCCTGATTTTCCTATTGGGTAGAGAGGAAGCCTCCTCCAATCAGCACAGAGCTCCGCCCTCCTGTACACAGACTGTCCCTGAGCTGGGGGAAGTGGACGGTGAGGTGTTTTGGGGTCTCTATAGATGACAGCGGGGAGGATGAAGATGGTGACCCCCCTCATCCTGATGATTGTGGGGGTGTCAGGGGTGCAGTGTGGTAAGTAGAGGACAATATAGATGCCATGTTGTCAGTGGGGGGGATTTCCTCCAAGTGTTGTATAGAATGGTAGAAATCAATGTGTAGTGATAAAGGTAGAAGTATTGTGGAAGTGACAGCCATGTCCTGTCTGTGTGAAGATGACAATACGGCTCTCCAGGCTCTGAAGGCTGCTCCTGGATCGTGTGTACGGAGCGGGGGGGCGGAGAGGTCAGGGCTCACCAGACATCACAGTGTATCCGCTGACAATACATTTCACCTTCTCACTGCTCACACCTATTTCCTGTTCTAGATGTGATCCTGGAGGGGGCGCTGTGTTCATTCTCCTCTGTCACATGGACATATAACTGGAGGGGGGGACTTGTATTTCAGATTTGGATGGAGTGGTGAGGGGTCAGATCCTCTGGATGGATTGTATTGCTGTCTGTGTCCCCGTTAGGGAGACTCACCTCCCCCCCCCCCCATGTGTGCTGATCACCAAATCACAGGAAGAATAGTGAGGACACAACCAACATGATGTGTTGTCACCACAACAGGAAGAATGGGGACATTTGTTTCTGTGACAACTAGGAGGGGATTTCTTCTCACTTCCTGTTGAGTCTATAGGACAGGAAGTGAAGGAAAATCCCCCTAATGAGACCCGGATGGCAGAATACAGAGGTTGTTCCCTCCCCTACTTTATCCACAATAACAGACATTCAGCTTTAGATCTTCCTTAAACCCAACTCTAGGAAAACGTTTTCAGTTTCGGATAGATTGGGGAAATGTTAGGACCTCTGTCTGCATTGTATTGGTGTCTGTCCTGCCATGAGAGATTCCCCCTCACTTCCTGTCCAGATGATGGGTGTCACACAGAGCAGGAAGAGGACATGGGGACACAGACAAGGTTTCACTACTTCTCTACCGGAACAATTTATTTATCACACATTAATATCAGCATTTATTGCTAGAAAATTACTAAAACCCCCAAATTATTGTATATATTTTCTGAAAGCAGAGACCCTGTAGAATAAAATGGCTGCAGTTACAATCAGTCATAATTTCAGGAAAGAATACACTGTAGTGACATTTGGAGGAAACACATAGCAGAGATTTTGGTAAAATAAAATAGTTGTGTTTATGGGGTGATGGGGAGTGACAGCGACTGCAGAGTCCTTTACACCCCCCCCCCGGTCACATCAAGCCTGACTTTGAAATCATGTGATGTACAGTGAAGTTACACAATTTCAAAGTCAGGGGACCCGCTGATTTCAGGTGCGATTTGCAAGGTATCTGACAAAGATATCTATGTAAATCACCAAAAGTAGCGCAAATACTACTTTAGAAATTGGTGCGAGTACAACCAAGTGGAACCTCACCGATATGACGGCTGTAATTGCGGACAATAGGGTGCGGATTGGCATGCAATGTGCAAGTCACATGGCATGCAAATCGTATGCCAAGTCGCACCCAGTGCAGCCGGGGTCTTAAAAGTGATTGTGTGGATGTGAAGCTGCCGGATCACCTCGACTTGAAAGCTGATTGCTGACTGAAAGAAATCAACATTAAGCTGACAGCTGCAGCGGCTGGGAACTTATTTTAACCCCTTAAATACCAAATCATTTATAATCATACCTTGGTAGACAAGGGGTTAAACATGACAGAATATCTAACCTTTCCCATCAAAAACTGAAGAAAATATTCCGCCTGATACTGAACTTTAATCTGCATTTGTTGTCAGTAAATCCTCCCACCAGAAACGTCTCTGACATATGGTTTGGGTTATGGGGTTGTTTTGTGATCTAATCACCTCTTGTGGGTTTTAATAAAGTATTACTCCGACCAAAACACTTTTTGGGGGTGCAGAGAAGGGTTGAACCTTTGTCAGGTTTGACTTCTGTCTTTGTCCCCATTTGCACAATTTCTATACTTCCAGTTGTGTCATTGGAACAGGGAGTGAAGGGAAATCTTCCTATGAAGTTCCAGCCAACAATACAACCTGACAGAGGTGCTAACCCTTCTCTACTGTCTAAACTGAAGAAAGTTTCCTCTGGAGTTCTGCATTCACATAGATTTCTAATTACAATGGGGTTGTAGTCAGAATTTCTAGTATTATAAATAGAATGATTTGTTTCCTTTTTCTTACTCATCATTCCTACTATGACGCTTGTTGTAGATGTATTGATGGATCTTTCACACTGCTGGGCATTTGTATGTCCACTGCACTGCGACAGGTTGGTAACACCCATTGCAGGGATGTATTTGGTTTTGATTCCAGTTTTTCGATCCCATATTAGGCTTCATGCACATTTGAAGTTAAAAACTGCTAAAAAAAATGCTGGATAAAAACCACTAATATTTCAGCATGTTTTGCCGGCTTTCAGCAGAGTTTAGCGCAGTGTAAGCTACATTTAGTGGTGGCATTAGTGTTAAGGAAACGCCGCCTCCGGCATTCTTACCAACAGACGAGTCATCAGCTGAATGTGAACTAAACAATTGCCGGCAATAAAAAATTGAGAAAAAAAATTGTGTGTGTGGGGGGGTCATCCCCCAATGCATAGCAAGCCCTTCATGTCTTGCATGAATTTTAAGGGGAACCCCACACCAAAGTAAAAAAAAATGGCATGGGGTCCCTCCAAAATACCAGACAACATGCCTTCAACATGGGGGGGTGCTTTAGGGTAGGGGGCTCCACCCTCCCAAAGCACCTTGTCCCCATGTTGATGAGTACAAGGGCCTCTTCCCCATAACCCTGGACCAGTGATTGTGGGAGTAGAGGGGGGTATCTTATTGAAATCTGAAATCCCCCTTTAACAAGGGGGCACCCAGATCCTAGCCCCTGTATGTGAATGAGTATGGAGTACATTGTACCCCTACTTATTCACCAAAAAAAAAATTGTGAAAAGTAAATAAAAGCACACACACTGTTTATGACAAGTCCTGTATTAAAAAAAACAATTAAAACCCAGTGAAGATCCATCGTTTTATGTCCTTTTCCATCTTTATAAAGTTCCATTACCTTGTTACGCAGGACTTTTGACAGTTCTTTTCTGCTCCCCATGGCTCAGTATCAATCCTAGTCAGTGCTTCCATGTAAGAGCTAACAAACTCATTGACTATTTATACACTGACACTAATTGCAATTTAAAAAGCCACAGATGTGGGACATTAACCTCTAATTGGCATTGTAACCCATGTGTGTCACCTTGTGTGTCTGTACCGAGGCCAAACATTCCAGGGGGCGGAGACTTCTGATCCGGGCCATTTGGGTGATTTCTGTTATCATTATGTTTTAAAAAGGAGCCAAACAGCTATTTGATAATAAATGGCTTCATATGATCATCATCCTTCAATAAAATAGCATTTTTTGGCATGACCAGTCAGATTTTGAATATCAATGCCAACATTTCACAATTTCTGCCAGAGTATGCAGACTTTTGAGCACAACTGTACACCCTGGAACATTTTCTTTTCCAATAAATGACTTGTCAAAAACTCTGTGCATTTTTATTTACTTTTTAACACTTTTTCTAGTGACTGAGTAGCGGTACAATATACACCTATTCATTCACATAGGACCTGGATGCACAGTCTTTACACCCATCTCTACATACAGTGGGGATCGAAAGTTTGGGCACCCCAGCTAAAAATTTGTATTAATGTGCATAAAGAAGCCAAGGAAAGATGGAAAAATCTCCAAAAGGCATCAAATTACAGATTATACATTCTTATAATATGTCAACAAAAGTTAGATTTTATTTCCATCATTTACACTTTCAAAATAACAGAAAACAAAAAAATGGCGTCTGCAAAAGTTTGGGCTCCCTGCAGAGTTAATATCTTGTACTGCCCCCTTTGGCAAGTATCACAGCTTGTAAATGCTTTTTGTAGCCAGCCAAGAGTCTTTCAATTCTTGTTTGAGGTATCTTTGCCCATTCTTCCTTACAAAAGTCTTCCAGTTCTTTGAGATTTCTGGGCTGTCTGTCACGCACGGCTCTTTTAAGGTCTATCCATAGATTTTCAATTATGTTGAGGTCAGGAGATTGTGAAGGCCATGGCAAAACCTTCAGTTTACGCCTCTTGATGTAATCCCCCGTGGATTTCGAGGTGTGTTTAGGATCATTATCCATTTGTAGAAGCCATCCTCTCTTTAACTTCAGCTTTTTCACAGATGGCATCAAGTTACCCTCCAAAATTTGCTGAAATTTTATTGAATCCATTTTTCCTTCTACTCGTGAGATGTTCCCTGTGCCACTGGCTGCAACACAACCCCAAAGCATGATTGATCCAACCCCATGCTTAACAGTTGGACAGAGGTTCTTTTCATTAAATTCTGTGCCCCTTCTTCTCCAAACGTACCTTTGCTCATTCCGGCCAAAAAGTTCAGTTTTTAACCTCATCGGTCCACAGAATTTGTTTCCAGAATGCATCAGGCTTGTCTATATGTTCATTTGCAAAGTTCAAACGATGATTTTTGTGGTGAGGACGTAGAAGAGGTTTTCTTCTGATGACTCTTCCATGAAGACCATATTTGTACAAGTATCTCTTTATAGTGGAATAGTGTAACACAACTCCAGTGTCTGCCAGATCTCTCTGGAGGGATCGTGCAGTCAAACGTGGGTTTTGAATTGTTTTTTCTCACAATCCTGCGAGCTGTTCTGTCTGATATTTTTCTTGGTCTTCCAGATCTTGCTTTAACTTCCACTGTTCCTGATGACTGCCATTTCTTAATTACATTCCGAACAGAGGATATTGACATCTGAAAACGCTTTGCTATCTTCATAAGCCTTCTCCAGCTTTGTGAGCGTCAACTATTTTCAGTTTCAGTTTTCTAGACAACTGCTTAGAAGAACCCATGGTGCTGATTGTTGGGGCAAGGTCAGATGAGTCTGGGCATTTAAAACCTTTGAGATTGACATCACCTGGTCTTCCCAGACGATGATTGAGAACAATCCATGACACTGGCAGGTCTCAGCTTTGCAAAGGGGGCAGTGCATGCTATAAATTCTGCAGGGTGCCCA